ACAATTCTTTTGACAAACAGAGGCCATATTGTACTTGAGTTAACATAGTATGTAAACATGGCACTCCCTCCTTGAGTGGCATGAGCAACAATTCTAATTCATTGCAAATCTCCTAACAATGATCCAATAGAAGATAAAAAAGAACAATTCTAAAATAATTCGAATTGTTAACGCATACATAGACTAACCGTACGCAAACAAAATAATTCGAATAATAGTCCATATTACGAAGAAAATAAAAAGTATTTGAAACGCTAAAACTAATGTAAGAAGCTTTAATATGTAAAGCATAACTTGAGCATCCAAAGAACAAATTGCACGAGAAACACCAAACCAGCAGGTCACCGTACCAACAAGCATTAAATTTTGGGTATTGTTAGAATTTGGAAGCTCCCAAATGGGTTGCATGAAGAATGTGAAATTGATCRTACATGTAACTTGTAACTTAATAGGTAAGCAGTTTATGAAACTGGGMAAAGAGGAAGCATACCTTGATAATCCATAAATGCATTGCAAAATAGCAACTAACATTTAACTTAGAAAGGACCGTTTCAAGACGGATCCTGCAAAAACCAATTAGATAAGAGAAGACAACATATGTTCCTCCAAACAAAGGTTTCATGTCAAATTTTGGATTCAACATGAAAGACCAGCCATAAGCAGCAAAGACCAAACAAAGGTTTCATGTCAAAAATTTCTATATATTATACAATGATATGAACTCGAAGTCGACATCAAGACCAACCATGAGCAGCAATTCAGATTTAATGTCTTTGTTCTTATTTTGTCAAGATTATCAAGTTTAAGCTATCAAAACAGATTATTGATGCATTGAGTTAAATAACAAGTTTTTGCTATCAAGAAAACCACTTACCGAATAAGTGTTAAGTGACACTTAATAAAAGCAAAAAACAAAGAGTCTTATTATGAAAACCACTTACCAAATAAGTGGTAAGTGGAAATTAAGTTTTGAAAAGTTAAAAACAAATAGCCCCTTACAATTAACTTCATCACGTCTGATCAAATTTCTAATCATAATGGATTAGACTTACAATTTTTATGATCAAGATGGTCCAAAACTTTTGATGATTTAAAGTTACTTCTTTTAGTTATGTTGACAAGAGTTATGGATCGTTGATGACTCAAATTTAGAGGTTTGAGCTATCTTACACCAATAATTCTGTCAACGATTAGCTGTCATGAAGGCAAACTAGATTTGCTTATGTTACACCAGATTTATGTTCAAGGCAAATCATACTTGTGATCGATGCTTATCAGTAATCTAATCATTATAGTTCAAGTTAACTCCATGCGACACCATAGTTAGAAAAACTCTTCAAGATTTAAGTCCATTCCATAATCGTCTATTCGTTCAAAGTCTACTCATGTTTGACCAGACTTGCACTCAAACAAATTAGATTTTTGGTCATGAAGGTTAAGACTTACACTTATCCCGTAGCCCAAGTTTTTAATGTTGCTGTCAGCTTTGCGCAACAGTAGCATTTTGTGAATATCTTCCTCATTGAAGCTCTACATTGATGACTCCAATTGCGTTGCATATAGAATGTAAACTATACCTTCATTGGCTTCATTATCCCCTGAGTTAAAGGGATTTACAGAGTCGAAACATTTTATTCGTATATGGTCTCGTGAATTTCTCAGTGTGAAAAAAAATACGATTCATGGAAAGTGTTTTCTGTTAAAATTAAAGCTTGACAACTAATTTCCGGTTTTTGATTGCCCTGAAAACAGGCAATAAGTTTACAATGCACAGAATAACCATCTGATTTCACCTTAATTGAAACCCCTACGAACAATTAGATGAAAACAATTACCGAGCATAGAGAAAAACAGCTGTAGATTTTAAGCAATGTTGATAAACGTATAGAGTTAATGCACAGATTCAACTAGAGGAAGAGAGAGGAACCTGAGGTTGAATGATGGTTGTGCGGCTATGGTAGCTCCAGTAACAAAACTAGAACCCTAGCTCTGTGTTTATATAGGTGATGTCCATACGACCCAAGGACGAATCAGAAATCGCGAAAAACACATCGATTGCATATTTGGACAAACAAAAAAGCACATTGACTACAGGGACGAAGGAGAACCAGAAATCCGAACCACAGGAGAAGAAGGAAAAGGAAAT